CAGGGGTGGCGAACCTTCATGCACCAACGTGCCATTTTTTCTAAAATATATTTTAATGAGGTCATAGACGTGCCGACAAATAGTTTTGACTTCGTGATTATTGGGTAAATAATAATACTAAATACTATCAACTCAAAACTCTTTATTTACTACGAAAAAATGCAATTCTCAACTTTTGCAATGTCTCAGTTATACGCGTAATTCAACTTAAAGTAACATCAGTGTGACTTTTGTTGTTGCAGATTAGATGACAAATAACTTATATTAGGGTTATAAGATGTTAGTTTAAGCAGAACTGTTAATTTTTTCTTGCTAGTTATTTATTGTTCGCTTGTTTTTTTATGGTTATTAATTGCTTTTTTGGCATTAATTGTTCTTTTTTTTGAGAATTTTAATTGAATTGTTAATATGCTTCATAGTAAACTTAGTGATCGGTGGCGTGCCCAAAATATTGTGTCGCGTGCCATAAGTGGCACGCGTGCCACTGGTTCGCCATCCCTGTCCTAGGTTTTAACGCAAAGACTAGGTAAAAGTCCGAAGTGGAATCCTATTAAAGATACTTCCGACTTTTACCAAGTCACTTCGGTAAATCCCAAGTTTTACCGGTGACACTTAGGATCTACCAAACTTCGAGCTTTTACAGTTACACATATAAACTGAGTTTCATAAAAATGAGCGGTGAGACTTCGTGTAATTTTTAATTTACGAGCAAATTTTTGAGTCGAGCAAAATATTAATCTGTGATTATTGGAGAAAAAAAACTATCATTTAAAAAAAAACTGTTATTAAAAAACTCCAAAAATTATAAAAAAGACCTGAATAATTCCAATTTATTTTTTTTATTTTAATTTTGATGAAATTCACAAAAGAATTTTTTTCATGACATGCCCCAACAAATTATGAAAACAGTTATTCCCAACAATAATAATAATTATTAGAAAAAAATTACCTGTATTTTCGTACCATTAGAGCAAAATTCTGAACACTTTACTGAAATTTTTACATTTTTATAATAATAGTTTCGTAATAATAAAGAAAGTGTTGGGTGGTGTAGATAGCATGACATTTGTGTGATTGCCTAAAAATGCTGGTATTATGCAAAGAAAAGAAAAAAGGAAGAAGAAAATTACATATCGTATATGTCACTCTAATCAGCTATCAACTAGGAGATAATTCGTCAAAAGCCGTTAAACACAAGAAAGTAAAGAAAAAAAAAAGTGAGTTTTACTGATAAGTTTTGACTTAAACGACTAAAAACTCAGTGCTAGAAAAGTAAGGAAAAAAGAAATGTCGAAAAGAGTGTGACACGAAGAGATAATGAAGCACGGCAAATCACGTACGCTCGGAGAATACGCTCGCAAGCAACTGTCACTTTGACGGTACAAAGAGTCAAATGGCAGCAATCGTCACTCGTTCTGAGATTCTGTTCTAAGTGATCGACACCCCCATTCACGAAAAGTTGCCAAAGGAGAGAGAAGGGGTGACCGAAAAGCAAAACAAGAAAGCCAACAGCGTCATCAGTTTTCGTAAAACAACTGTGGTTAAATTTAAATCTCTCACTTCTTGCGCGTTTACCGACGTCCATGTTTAACATGGCATTATCCCAAAGGTCTATCTGAAACATGAAATTATTCTAAGGAATGATCTTGAAGACAACAACGTACAATGCTGCTCGCTCTTTTGTTTTAACGTTAACTGAAGCAAGTTGTGTGTTCATAAAAAGTGAAATTGATCATTGCAATTATTGTAATAATTTGTGCTGACATTTGGAGTAAAAGTGCGATTTTAATTGTGTTTTCGGCCTTTAGTTCCATATTTTTATGGCATCAACTAATTCTTTTATATTTCTTCAAAAAGTAATAGTTTAAAAATTAGTGGTGATTAATAATTTTCATATTTATAAGACTTTCATGGGATTACTATGCAAAGGATTAAAGTTTTGGCAATTGATTTATCAAAGCGTCAAGCCAGATTACATCCAAAAAGGGAGAAAGGTAAGGAGAACTGATATTTTAAATTGTGATTTATTTTGATATTCAGTACTTGTTAGTGATTTCATTAGTACCTATTGAAATAAATGCATATGATTGTTTTAATTTTTTAGTTAAATATTATTTCAGGAAACGATAGTTTGCAACAATTATTTATTATTTTTAATTATTTTATTAATTAATGGTTTAAAAACTTTTGAATAATGAGGTACATAAATTTGTACATAATTTTCAACTGGGTAATTTTAAATTTAAAAAAAATCGGTAGATTATTATATGTTGTTTCTGAGTAATGAAATTTCGAGAAAGTCATATCTATACAAGCTTCTACTTCTCTTATTCTATGAAGATCACCCATATTTTAATGATTATATATCATATTTCCATATATATATCATATATCCACCCATATCTCCCATATTTTAGTAATTAAAAATCTTAATCTATAGGAGAAAAATATTTGTGCAGAAAAAATACTCATTTGTGCCAGAATTCGCCTTTTTCTTTCTTTTTTTAATCAAAGTACTTTGAAGCAGACCTTTTTTTCTTAACTTTTTTAACTCAAAAGATTTTTTGGGTGTTTTTAATAACTCCTTTGCTTTTTTCGGGCCGTATTGTGTAAAAATTTTAAAGCTAAATTAAATAGGGTTTTTAAGATAAATTTTAAAACAAAATACATTATAATATTTTTTGTAAACATCTGAAACATGAAATTATTCTAAGGAATGATCTTGAAGACAACAACGTACAATGCTGCTCGCTCTTTTGTTTTAACGTTAACTGAAGCAAGTTGTGTGTTCATANGTAATTTTAAATTTAAAAAAAAATCGGTAGATTATGCGATGTTGTTTCTGAGTTATGAAATTTCGAAAAAGTTATCTATACAAACTTCTACTTCTGTTATTCTATGAAGATCACCCATATTTTAATGATTATATATCATATTTCCATATATATATCATATATCCACCCATATCTCCCATATTTATGTGATTAAAAATCTTAATTTATGGGAGAAAAATATTTGTGCAGAAAAAATACTCATTTGTGCCAGAATTCGCCTTTTTCGTTCTTTTTTTAATCGAAGTACTTTGAAGCAGACCTTTTTTTTTTTTAACTTTTTTAACTCAAAAGATTTTTTGGGTGTTTTTAATAACTTCCTTGCTTTCTTCGGGCCGTATTGTGTAAAAATATTAAAGCTAAATTAAATAGTGTTTTTAAGATAAATTTTAAAACAAAATACATTATAATAATTTTTGTAGACCATAGAGATATTAAAATATCGGCTGGGGGACTTAAACTGTTTATTCAGTGGCTTCCGGATAGGAACAAAAATCACTCAATATATTTATTTATTCATTTTTATCAAAAATAAAAAGTGGTAGGAAAATTAGGCTCGTCATGATTAGAAATTATCTAATAGGTTTCAAGTCACGTTTAACAATACTCCGAGCAAATAACTAAAATTTTAAACATCACAGCGCTGAAATTATTTAAAACTTGATGGTAGTTACAAAAAAAAACTTTTAATTTAGTTTAAACATAAATATGCTATCACTTATCTAACATCAAGATTAGTACCAAAAAAATAAATAATTGTTATTAATTAAGGAGATTCTTCTCACAATTTTCAAACACATCAATAATATCAACTTTTACGCCAATTGCAAAATATTCCACACAGTCATAGTAAAATAATGATTAAAATACCTAAGTTAAGGTAAGAATTATTTCAAGTCCACAAGAAGTTATACACACCTTTGCGTCATTTATTTATTTATTTATAGTTACTTGTTACAGACAGATGTGCAGGCTTGAGTGCTCGATTTACGGCTTATAAGTCCTGATCTCTGCTTGATCGTAGGTTCATTAACAGAAGTATTTAAATCTTAACGGATTTGGCACAACTAAGGCAAGTTTAATGTAACACTAATTAACAAAAAGATAAATAAACAATTTTATTTTTACTTTAAATCAATGCTACCAATGAAATGTTTAACGTTAAATATTTTAGTTCTAAAACTATTTTGTCTGAATAATAAATGTATGCTATGCAAATATAGAATTTTTACTTTAAATTTAGCTTACATGTACGAGGTCAATTAACACAAAATGTATGCATATTATACTTTGGCACGCTTTTTATTTCTAGTAGCCAGTGATCTGTTTCGACGAAAAATCACAACAAATGAATTAGAATTAGCAAAAATTTAGTGAAATAGGTTACAGTAAAAAAAAATGAAGCATCATAGATAATTTTTGATCAGATCATTCGATTTTCATATCATTCGATACTCGTGTTCAAGAGATCCACTTTAATTTCTTAAAAAAGAAGATCCAGGTTCCGATAATGTAGGTTACAAAATTAAATGCTACTTCCTCTCAATATATCCTCTTTTAGGGATACGGGTACATGATCCTAAAAATGTCTTTAGTAATAGAGGTCCAATTTAGAAATCCAGAGGCTGTAGGTACAAAATTGTCAAGGGCGACCCCGCCATTTGCTGTTTGTAGTGTTGGACAAAATGTACATCCTGTTTGAGTGCAAGATACTTTTCAATGATTTTTAAGAGAGAATCGTGATATAGTTAGAATATGTATGGTTTATTTATTTAATTGTTTGTCAATTCATAATTCTAATAGGCAATACGCATTTGAAGAAAAAAATTAAATTATAAATTTCATGGCTTTAAAGGTTTAATGATGAATTAGGCACTCGGTTGCAGCGATTGTTAAAAGTTTGATTCCTTTAATGTTTTTATCTTGAGCGTTTTTTGCCATACTTCCAGAACTAATCACGTAAATTGGATTTTTTTTTGTCTTACATGTGTATCTATTTAATCCAAAGACAATTTTATTGAGAAAAGTTTTTTAATCATTATTTGTTATACATGCGAAAATTTTTTGATGCTAAGGGCTAAAACTTTTTACGTTCTATATAATAATTTAATGATTCAAGATTTGAACCAAATCAGCTGAATTATTTCTGAGGAATAACAATTCTAAAATATCGTATCATACTAATTATCATTACAAATAGTTACGACGTATAATTTAAAATTGTGTTTTTTTAGATGTTTTTTAACGTACTTTATAAGGAAGCACACTGTAGTGTGTGAAATTAATCACAGTACTAGTTCTCGAAATTTAAAATTTTTACCAATTTTTAAAAAAATTGAGTTTTGAAAAAAAAGTCAAAGTGTCTGGAAAAAACCGGACTTAAAGAGGTTCTAAGAACAAGTTATTGCGAAGAATCGATGCACTGAACAATGTTTATAAAAAGACACGTCAAAAAAGGAATTAAGAAATTTATTTTGTGATTGTTTTCCTTTTCTAGTTCCGTGTCAAAGATCGATTTTCTCTTAAGATCATTTCAGATATTATTATGTGTAAGGCATATCAACAGATAACACCTACGATAAAAGTTTTTATTCTGTCTATAAACATTCAGCAGCTAAACTATAATATGATGTTGTTTAGTAGAGTAAACAATTTTTTTAAACAAGTATAATGCTGTAGAGAATTACAATGTTGATTAATATTGTCATAACTGATAGGTAATAAATTTTCAGTTTTAAAAGAACGTTAATATGAGTAAGAATAATGATTGAGAAAATAAATTATCAAAGCTCTGTTTCTTGAATCCATCACGTCCTAAAGCTGCCATGTACTTTTTCAACAAAAAAAAAAACTTTATTATTTCATTTTTAAATTTATATTGCAGAAACAAAGTATATTTATCAAAAATACACTAACAATATGATTACGTGTGTAGATTTTACGCAACAACAACGCCTGGCCTGGTTAAGAACGAATACGAGTATAGTTCTTGTTCGCATAAATCCAGTATGTAAAAAAATGGTATATTATGGTGGGTACTTGCATCTTTATTGTTACAAAAAGACACTTATGAGAAAGAAACATTCCATTATATAAGGAACATTGAAATGATCTATTGCAAAAAAATTTATATTAAAACTTGAATGTTATAGCAATTAATCGTTTTTAATTCATGTCTTAACATTCAGAGTAGACAACTAAAGAACTACTAAAAATTTTCAACTTTTAATATACTTTCCCCATAATAGGTAAAAATTACTGTGAAAAGGGGCACTAATAAGTAATGACTGAGAGTCTTATACTAGCCGTAGTAACGAAAAAAGTATAGGAACGACACCGTTTTAAGCAATATTAATATTTACTATAGGGTGTTTCTTAATGACCACCCTTAATGCATCAATATATTTTGATAATTCTTGCAATAAATTGAATCATAACGCCTATGGATTAGAGATAACAATGATCCTATACCTTCAGCTGGGAACCGCGTGCTGCTTGCGGAATAACTGAGAATTGTAATAACTGAATAATAAAGCTGCAAAGGTTTTATTAATCAGAGATGTGGTTGGTGTCAAAAAAGTCACTCTTCAAGTGGTAACGGTCGATAAACGCTTAACGTACTAGCGTCTTTTTTCGACCTCTTTTCCACTCTCCGTCCATAAAATCACGCAATTTTAGGGTGAACTTTAGTGGTCTCTTAAAAGGCCTACCAAAACATAATAATAAAATAAAAATCAAATAAATCCTAATGGCTTGTTATTTTGCATACCTGGATTTGGTCTCTCTCTTCTTTTTTAGAAAAAGCCTTTTTTGACCGTGCATTTAATGCTGTAGAATTTAATCAAGCACATAGATCTATATTGCACGTCTATTATAAGTATAAAAAGCATAAACACTTTCTTATTCTTGAATTTACGAGCACTTTTTTATTATTGAATTTCTACAGTTTCTAATCCAGTATAGTGTTTTGTTTTATCGATTTATGTAAATTTTTGCGTGTTTTTATAAAACATCCGCAGATTCCAAGTGGGCCTTCATTTTTTTTTTCAATTATTGGTAGCAAAGATCTAAATGTAGATGTATAGTATTTTTTACTTTAAAAAAAAAAGAAAAGAAAAGAAAAAGAATTATAAGTAATAATGGTCACATTCGATAGCGTTTTG